AAAATAGAGCGCGAAGTGTTTCCACTGCTTTAGGAAGCACTTTAAGGGCGATATTCAGGCCTGCCCATTAAGTAAGGGTAATAAACTATTGATATTGTGAATTTTTGTCGTTGGAATTGCCAGAACTAAGAATAGACTAAATATAGCTAAGTGTGGGAGAGCCATGCTTCGATTATAACCAGCGTGACGTAGTGTCGAAAATCTCCAAATATTTAAATCCACGAGATGAGACACGTTTTTGTATAATCAATGTAAATATACAAAAACAACGTTCTAAAAGCCAATCTTGAACTAAAAACATGACTACTACTATTTTGACCTATTGTATGTCGCACATTGCACATTAGAAGAATTCGGTTTTGTTATTTGTATTTATATGTAACCAGCTATTCCCACGTGGTTTCACCCGCTGCCCGGCTCCTACTAGTCATACCGTAGCCTTTCCCTAGAGCCTTATAGCATTTCCCGATAAATGGATTATGTAACATAAAAAAGAATTGTGCAAATCGAACTAGTAATTTCGGAGATTGGCTACTTCAAGACAAACAAACAAACTCTTGAGCTTTATAATATTCCCTTAATTTTTTATACATAAAGAGTTGTAAGTTGTCTGTGTGATAAGATGCCCATTGTAACCAATCTAAAGTGTTTCCACTTAGTTTATATGAGTACAATAAAGTATGTATAACTAAAGAAATAAAATTTTAAAAAGTTACGATATTTATCGTCTAGTGCCTGACGTATTAAAGTTTTTAAGCGCCTGTCATGTCTTACAAAGAGGTACTTATTAAGTTCAAATTTTACAAGTTTTGAAATAACGACAGGCGTCATAAATATTAATATATCTACAAATAAGGTAATTCTACAGGTTTGGCTGGTTTATGCATGTTGCAAATAAGTTAGAAATGTTCATTCACGCATACATAAGCACTAAATCTCATTAGTCAACGATGGTGTAAACAAGCAAGAAATAACTGAATAAGTATAAATAAACACACACGAAAAAGACTCAAAACTAATGAGCAGTCAAATAGCATCAATAAGATTAGGTTGTAGAATGCTTTCTTGAATGGCAAAACTTCAATAAATATTGATCACGATTTCTGCGTCAAATATATATTTTTTTAAACTTCTGGAATGTTACTAGTAGTAGGTATATCTCAAAATCAATACCTAAATGATATTTGTTTAACAATGTTTCGTACTTTGTAGAGGATTTTGTAACTTCCAGTTTAAATGTTTAAATTAACTAGAAAAGATGTCGGAGAAAACAGCACAAGATCTGTAATACTATTAACACGGTGGTTAGATTTCTATTCAACATCGTTCTCAAATATGGCCATTCTAAAGCCTCTACTTACTCACCTACTGGGAACATTACTGAGTAATTTTCCACTGCGACTAGAGCAGTCGATTTTTGATTATTTTTATATTCGATTTACCTTATGCCACACCAACTGACAAAATATTTCAATTCACAATAAAAATTATTAAAGTTATGTCCCTCTAAACATTAAGATAAGATTAAAATTTATGAGTAGCGGAAAGTGTGAAAGTTTTCCTTCCATCCACATGGAAATAAATATCAATAGATCGGTCGAGTACATTATTATGAGTACCAGGTCACTCCCCCAGACAATATTTGCATGCTAATCCGTAGCCACCACCCACACTGTATTTCACCTTAAAGCACGTGTAATCAGTGAATATTAAACATTTCACTGTTTATTCCCCGAATTCTGCACTTTAAAAGGAACTTTATTAATTTTCTTTTTCAACTAAGTATTTGTTTATTTTTTGTACGTTGTCTTCTCTTTGACCAATCATGTTTAAATTCGAATTAATGAAGTATTCAATCTCCTTCAAAAGTTTTACTTTACTAACGTCGTCGGCAGGCTAAATACCTGCTAAACGCACTACAACGCATAGAAAGCCTAGAGACTCATTAATGATGATTCACTTGTGGAAGCCCGGCTTCAAAACTTCGAAAAATTACAAGCCTGTCGGTCTTTTACAGGATACAATTCGAAGACTGTCCTAAGAAATAGTGCCCTGAATGACCCCACCACACATAAGAAGCAATTTGTTTCTAGTTATTTCATCACAACCGCTAAGAGATAGACATTGTGCCAGAGTCTATGTTCTCCGAATGAAGGGGCTTCATGGGGCGAGTAAATAGGTGGCTTATGGACAGGCGTGCTTCATCGTAGACCACATTATCGCTTACCTCCAGGTGAAATAGTAGTCAAACACCAACACATTTTAAATAAAATAAAAAACGTTTCGCGAATTTGTATAAAAAAGTAACAACACAATCGTCATACTCACTGAACATCCATAAAGCAGTGGCATAAAGACTTCTAAAACCTTTTTTTCCTGCGTAATTTAGCAGTTGTTTAAGATTCTAACCCTTTACAATCGCAAATCTTTAGATAACTTGTTGTTAAAAACACTCTCCAACAACTTATAACTATAGAAACATATAAAAATAAAACATATCTCACGCTCTCTAGCGTTTTATAAAATATTCAACAGGTATACGCAAACATTAGATCACCACGTGACCGATCTACATAAATAAAGTATTTATTTTAAAATTAAAATAATAGCCGAACAGGTTCCTTGCAAACCAGTTAATACCATTTTAATGTGACTTACTTAAAAATACATATTTATGTAATAGATCTTACCAGTCTTCGATACAAGTGGGAGACAGTAGTAATAAAATTTTTCTGTGAATTTGATATAAAATTGTGTAATTTTTAATGGTGTTATAATCTATTAAATAATTTGTTAATCATGGAAAAGTGCAATTATAAAGAGATACCAAATAACAATGAACCATTTGTTAAATTGAAAACGAGCTCGGATTGGAAACCATTTTTGAAACAGGTGATTAAAAGCAACTTTATTATCATTATCCTAATGTCCTGCAGGTTTATACACATTTACAGCACATATTTACAAGGAACTTTTATAATTTGACTGTAATGGAATTTATCTGAACAACGACCAATATTTTTTGTATTTGATACTAAATACATTTATGTATAAACTTCCACCATAGTTCACAGTGAACAGACCCATCCAGCAAGGGAAAAATATTGTGTAATATTAGATACCGCATACCTATAAATAAATTAATAGATAATTATCTGCACATATTCGTTTTCAATAAAGTTTCCAATTCAGATTATACCTATAGTTTAAATATAGGGATTTCAAAACATTATCTTTGCAAAATTACAAACGTATAACAAAATACCTATATAACTGTGCGTATAAGCCCCACATTGGGTATTGTTGACGGAATATTGGAGATCGAGTTATTAACTTATTATTTTCCTATTTTAAACTTTTACACAAGCTACTGTTAAATTCGATATAATTATAAACGAAAAGTTAGAATTAGACTAAGGGCCTGGTTTGAACACCTTTTTATTATCTGAGATGTTAAGTACCTGATAAACTTAATTGTCAGATAGTTCATAAAATTACGTTGTATATTATTTATGTGATATATAGTACATGTTCAGAATTTATGAACTAAGTCAAGCTACTTCTACAAATTCTTCATTTTAAAATGTATTATTACTGATACAGAAATTTGTTTTATATTCTTGACAAGCGTTCCGTTGCCGAATAAATGCATTTTTCATTCTTTCTTTCTTACTTTCTTTCTTTGTTGTTGTGTTGAAAGGTTGTCACTGTGTTCCTTACCATTAACATACATACAATGTGGTAGTAATTTTCTATGTAACCGTTACACCATTTACATGATGTTGAGGATAGTGCTCATTCAATTAAGATTGTATTTGTGAATGATTTATTAATTTATTTTTGACATTGTTTTTTTATGATTTATTAAGTTATTATTGACATTGTAATTTTGGATGATTTACTAACTCATTTTTGAAATGGCATTTTTGAATGATTTATTAAATTATTACTGAAATTGTATTATTGACAAAATTTTATCTCATACAAATTTTTGATTTTTTTCATTATTAGTTACAAAATTTTTGCATGCGTGACGGTAGAATGTATTGGATAGATAATTTACTTAACACCATATTTATGTACCTGCATTCGTAGCAAATAAATTTCATTGCATTTCAATTATGTCAACATATCAAGCAATGATTGTGACTGATAGAATGATACAAAAAAAAACATTTATATCCTACTAGACATACAGTTCTGTGTACTAACTATCAACAACAAAAATGCATAACGAAGTTTGCGAACATCTTATAAATAAAGTAAACACAAAAAGTACTTAAACAATAACTAAAACAAATAATACAAGATGGCAGTGTGCTCATGGTTAAACAGTTGCGATCTCGGTACATGTTGGTTTCATCTAGTAAAGTAACTGTTTAATTATATTATAAAAAGACATCGCTTAAATATTTTTTTAAGCAGCAGCAGCAGAAAGCGAGACTTTGGTCACTATAAAACTATTAATTTAGAAAGAAACTTGCAAATTTTTATTCTAAACCTTCTATTTATTTATTTTTTGTCAAATTCAAAATTTTCGGCTTAATACTGATTTAATAATTCTGGTTTTACATGCCAGCCAACTAGGTTTACCTAGAAAATGAATGACCATTTATTACCTAACATATAACAAGTTTTTTAAAAACTAGGTACTAGGTAATGTCTTTTTTGGTATTTTAAAATGACTAATTTGGTTGCCTACCTTGTTTGGTAGTAAATGAGCAGTCATAAGTAATCTGATGTTAAGCAATCAGCACGACCCAAAACTAAAAGAGTTACCCGCGTGTTGTTGGTCCCTTGCGGATGATGAGGGCCTCCTCTGATAGACAAAACAAAAGTGTTCTGTAAAGCTATGATATTATACTGCTGCTGAGCTGGCTTATTAGTGCCAAAACACACCCCGATTTAAATTTAACACGTGTTTATTCTGTAATATAACAAAATTTTTAAATTATATTTTTTTATGGTTTAAGTCGGCAAACGAGTTGGCGGATTACCTGATGGTAAGCAATCGGCGCCGCCCATGGACACCCGCAACGGAGGAGTTACGAGTGCGTTGCCGACCTTTTAGGGATTAGGGATTTGGAGATTTAGGGATTGAGGAGGGATTGGGGAGGGGAAGGATTGGGCCTCCAGTAACCTCACTCACACGGCGATACACAACGCTGTGGTTGTTTCACGCCGGTTTTCTGAAAAGCCGTGGTATCACTCCGGTCGAGCCAACCCATTCGTTCCGAAACATGGCACTTCCACACTAAAAAAAAATTTTAAATTGCAATTTGTCGTTTGGCCCTACCTGATGGTATCGTATTAAAAAACGGGTCACCTGATTGTAATCAATCAGTTACTGTGGACACTTGCTTTTACTGGCATGAACAACTGAAATTGGTTAATGCGAATCTTGTCTGATTTGAAACTGTCAAATGAAGTCGGTTAAAATATATTATCTATGTAACTTATCGGCAGTTATTCATAAAACCGTATATGGAAGCAAATATAGCTTTAAACTGGTTGTAAAATTTTCTAATGAAATATATTTTTCCAATTTACAGCTCTTAATCTGCAGTGGAGTATGGACGTCTGTGTTTCTCTATGGACTATCCGTTGGTGCACCCACTGTCTTCATTCCTCAGATCAGAAAAGAGGCCAATAATACTGAAATCATTACAACTGAAATGGCTTCTTGGATGAGTAAGTATCGTTTTCATATTTAAATAAATTCGCCATTTACCATTTAAATGAAATTTATTGTTAAGTTTCTATCTAACCTTGACACAGAATAAAAAACATATTAATACTTTATTTTCCAGCTTCTGCATTTGGCTTCAGCGGGTTTCCCTTCGTCATGATCCTCACGATACTTACCAAATTTCTCGGAAGGAAGATACCATTCGTGATCGCAGTCCTTGACTCATTGGTCGCCTTCATCGTCTTGTACTTCAGCACAAATGTCACACAAATACTAATTAGTCAACTCATGCAAGGATTGTTCTGCGCCTCGCATACCAGCATCACGATAATGATTATGACTGAATACATTTCACCAAAATACAGAGGAATATTTCTGACAGCCAAAACTGCTACTTTCTATTGGGGCGTTTGGGCTTCTAATACAATAGGAACATTTTTTCATTGGAAAAATATCCCATTGTTTGGTATAATATTTTCAATGTACACTTTGTTAACATTAATGATCTGGCCAGAGTCTCCATATTGGTTGGCTAGTAGAGGACGGTTTGAAGAATGTGCAGCCTCACACCGATCTCTGAAAGGTTGCGATGAAGAGTCAGAGAAAGAATTAGAAGCACTAATCAATTCGCAGAGACAATATCTTGCCAGCTCCTTGACTAATAAACAATCAGTAACGAGACATATTACTGGCTTCTTTAAAATAATCACATCTAAGGGATTTTGTAAGCCTACAGCATTGTCTATTTTGACAGGCCTTCTCGCATTTTGCTCAGGGAAGTTAGTATTTGCTTTGTATGCTGTAGATATTCTTAAGAAAGTTACAAACAACGAGTCTACAGCTTATATTGCGATGTTGATCATTGACGGGTTTACTGTAGTCAGCATGTACGCTGGATGTGCTCTAGCAAAGCATTTGAAAAGACGTACTTTACTATTAGGAGCTTCTACTGTAGGGGCTGTGTTTTTATTTATTTTGTCCATTTATTTATATTGTATTAAATTGAAAGTAATTCCAGAAAATCAGTATGTAACAATAGGTCTATTTGTTGCTTTTACTATTGCAGTCAGCTGCGGGCCATTGTCAGTATCAATATCAGTGTACGGGGAGCTGATTCCTATAAGGTCTAGAAATTTGTCAGTATGTATTATTGCACTAACTGGAAAACTAATAACTGGAATGTCACTAAAGATGGCTCCATTCGCATTCAAAACTTTTGGTGTACATGGAACTTGTTTGATGTTCGCTATTTTTTCAGTAATCACGATAGTAACTTTGTACAAGTATTTACCTGAAACTAAGAACAAAACACTACAGCAAATAAATGACCAAATAATGGGAGTTAAACCAAATACAAGACAGATAACAGGCAAATTAATTACTGATGATAAAGATGTTTGAATGAAATCTTGAATTGCATTTATTAATATTGTAAATAATTTATAAATAAAAAACTTTAAAATTAGAATAACTGAACTATAAGGCGTATTTTAAAATAATGGCCGATTAAATCGTTTACTACATAGAACATACAGGATACAATAAAGGTATATAATAACAACCAAATAAAAACAAAACTGCATTTATTACATCATAGAATAAGTAGGACAGCAATATAACTGACCTAGGCCAAGGTATTCAGTATTAAGACAGCAATAACCAGGTCGGTCGGGGGTCAAACATGGCGAGACCCCAAAGGAAATAGCGCGGTGATATGGGCATGTGCTCTCCCTATCTGTTACCGGACACGCCGCCATCTTGGAATGCCGACTGCAAACGTTTGCCCCAACTGTATTGTATACGATATTACCCAGTTAGCATTAGGGGAAATATGTAAATCTTAATAATTAGGTTAAGTTTTGTCTGATAATGAAATCAGGATATATTATTGTAATCATATTTCTTTACATAAAATATGTGCCATGTCAATGCAAAATATTGTGTAATATTTTTATGTGAGTAATTGCTTGTCACATTAGAAATTTTTAGTGTAGTAATTCTAAGTCTTAAGAACGAATAAAAATTTACTTGACATTGATTATTTCGTAATTGCTTGCCTTCATTCTCCAAAAAAGTGACTCGGAAAAAAGAAACGCAAAAAAAGAAAAGCGACAAAAAGATAATTTGTCCCGATGCTTATGAGTCTTTCGTTGTCTGTTTCCGATTGGTTTCACAACGATTCAGAATTACCCCTGAGCCATCTATCATAACGTTTTGGGGTAACATCGCGCAGGTCATTGTCCTTTATGGAATATTCGCGTATCAGTTGTCTCTGTTAGGCAGGGATGGACTTGGGGTAAAGGATGCAATTCATGCAATCGTTAGCTGTGGAAATATTTTACTAAAGTTTAGGTATCGTTATTTTATCGAAATATTTAGTCTAACTTCATTGGCATTTTAAGATTTGAAAATTTCACAAATTAGGATAATTTCAATTAATTAGATTTGAACTTAGGTTGAATTGACTAAATCAGTTCCATCAATAACTAAGAATTTAAAATGAAACTACTTTGGTTTTTTTTTTTTTTGTGAGGGGAAGATCATCAAATGACTTCTCCCGCCCAGGGCCGGGCAGGAGGGAGTGTCAGACTCTTACTGACTAAAAACCCCCCTGTTCCTTCTCCTGCTCTTTGCCGAGGTCGCGGTACCTCATTGCGCTTACCCCGCAACCCCGGCTGAACATCAGCCCTTTAGGGCCCCGTCTGTGGTGGTCGAATGGCTCTTTGAGGCGCGCGCGGAACGCTACGCGCCGTACGCTCGAGCCTGGTTCTGGTCGGGCGGCGAGCTGCCCTTACTCGCCGACCGCAGGCCCGTACTTACGGTGACCGGAGATCGTCCCTCGATCCCCGACGCCCGTAGTGTCGCCAGTTGCGGCTACTGGGGCGTGAGGAGGAGGATTGCTCCCTCACGCGGGCCGCCTCTCTCTTTGCGAGCATGACTGCTTCACAAAAGGAGGAGACGGCGTCCCAGTTTTAGGAAACTACTTTGGTAATTATTAGTATTACAAATTTTGAAGTCGATGTGAATATTGCTTAAAAAATTATAACAAATCAATTGAAAGGAGCTTTGTTCCATGCGGGTTTCTCTTGGGACCTCTAAAATTTATTAAGGAACCATGCTTTGGAACGAATTGGCCAGCTCGACTGAAGCGATAATATGGCCTCTCAGAAAACTGACGTTGAAGAATCACAGCATTTACAGCACTTTATATGTTTTGCATCATGAGTGAGGTTACTAGGGGCCTAATCGTTCCCATCTCCAAAAACTCCGTATCCCCAAAAGGCTGTGCAGCCACTTGCAAGTCATCTGCCCAAACCCCTGCCCCAAGAAGGCTGTTGTTTTGATGACTTATTGCATTAAAAGTAATGTAAAATCCGTCTCTTGGTAGGGCATCGTCGATTTTAATAAACTCAATTGAGTCGTTAACCCCTAGTACAAGTTTAAATAAGGGCCACGAGTACCAGCACTCGCCATCTTTGTTTTGACAAGTACTCCTACTAATTACTACTCGAGTTCAGAGCGTTATGGCCGTTTACATTATAAATTGATAATAATGGTTCAGCAAAAACATTATAACTTCTGAATTAAAGTTCAGTTTCCGTAATTACAATTATGGATAGTGATTTGCGTTGTTTGTTGGATTTGAGATGGAAACCTAAAACTATGGAGGTAGATGTCCCTAGTTAAAATAAATAAAGTAATAGCCGTTCGATCTATACGTTTTACTTATTGCCATTCCGACTCTGTAGTTTCAATCTCTGACTGAAATACACAATAATTGCTCTAAAGATGGCAACTGGCTAGCTTATAGTTTAGTGAAAATAACTACCTACGTACTCACATCAATTAACTGTGTAAAAGCTCGACTAGTTTCAAGCCACAACGGGACTCTTATTCATGAGCAGCGTGCGCGTTGCAGCGACGTCGCGCATCCAACTGTCATCACTAAAATAAAACACATTAATTAAATGTTATTTCATAAAATATGATAAGCTTCACAAAACGCCTGGTCGACGCATCTCGTGACCATATGGTTGATCTGTTCTCCGGATAATGGTTAAGCAATGCGACACTTAAAAGCCGTCATTGCTATTTCATTTTCATTTTAAATTTACTTCTAAAGCAACCAACATTTTAGTTATTAAAGAAAACTCAGAGAAAAGCAGCTGCTGCGTTAAATACTTCCTAACATGTTGTGGTATAGGAATCATAAAAAATATGGTTATTGAAAAATTGTAACACATTTTTTCTTTTTCATTAAAACCAAAGCTCACCGTTATGACAGCAAATACAGCTATTTAATTAAATAAACCAGCAAAAATAGGCCTCAGAATATCACATATCTAATTAAAAAATTCTATAAATACAACGGAAAACACATTGAACTGTGTCGGGTGATCACCCTCGGCAAAAACAAAGGTTCCGGCTCACAAGGGATTGACGACCTTATGACAATATTCTTGTATTGATATGCAAGCCGATGCTTTCCTTCAACAGATAAAGTACAACATACTATAGTTTACGCGTCTCGTTAGGTTTATGTTACATTGACAACGTTACCAAGTTGATGATCTTTGACCTTTAAAAGAAAGGTATGGAAACTAAGATCAATTTCCTAGAGCATTCAAAGGGATTGTTTTCCTAGTAAAGGAAATGTAAACTTTCGATGAAGCTTAGAAATAAACTGCTCCTTCTGAAATTTTCCATTCAAAGTTAACATTGGAAAAATTCCATTACTAATTGCAAAAGGTTGGATTAATTAATTTTTTTCAGGTGTCAACAAGGTATCGTTAAGGTTCTTTGTACAATACACCTGAAGTTTTTACACACACTTTTAAAGTATCGATACACAAATCTTTGATTCTCACACACATCATCAGCTTATAAGTGCCCACTGCTGAGCAAAGGCCTCTTCTCACAAGGAAGAGGTTTGAGCATTATAATTATGTATAATCACGCTTGCTCAAGGCGGGTTGGCGGTTTTAAACTGATAATTAGAAATTATAAACCCATGTTCTCCTTCGCCGTATGCAGTGGTGTCTCGTAGAAAGTACATATGACTCCGAAAAATTCACAGAGGTTCTTGGCAGGTTTTGGAACCTACATGCGGGCGTACTAATCTCCGGACCCAAGTTTACGTTTCACAATTAGTTTATCATATAGGAGCTTATACGTTTTTATAGCTGATAATAATGGAAGCTTTTATGTTAACAAATCAAAACACTCGTGCAACAAGAAAGCATTTAAAAGAGTAAATAATTCCACATTAATTTTACCTGTGAATGATTATGTACTAAAAGGTTTGAGAATTAATTATATATTCTAAACACACATTAAGGAAAGGGGCGCCACCTGTCGGGAGCACTGGACATAAATCAGGTACGAAAGGTTTTACATCATCTGTGGGATACTTGATAACGTCATGTCTGTATACTCGGGAACATATTAGGTAAAATAATGAGTTAGTGTATATTTACGATGTTGCTTAGTCTCATTATTGGTACATAGGTATACCAAAATAATATAAGTGTGGGAAAGCCATGCTTCGGCACGAATGAGTCGGCTCGACCGAAGTGATACTACGGCCTCACAAAAAACTGGTGTGAAACAACCACAGCATCTTGTTTCGCAGTGTGAGTGAGGTACCCCATCATTCGCCTCCCCCAATCCCTCCATCTCCAAAACCTAATACCTAAAGGTTAATACTCCTCCGTCGTTGCGAGTGTCCATGGACGGTGCTGCTTACCATCAAATAATCCGTATGCTCGTTTGCCTCATCATATAAAATAAAGAAAACTTATTACGTAGCACGAACAGAGACAATCTAACCGGCCAATTCCTAAGTTCCGAATTAAGGCAAGTTTTAAATATTGTTTATAACGGTACTGACCCAGGGCTGTGAAGGGTAAATTCAGGCTAAAGCATGCACGGTGATAAATACGAGTACTCTTTTCTTCTCTGTGTGAGAATAGAACTTTCCTCAGCAGTAGAAAAGATATGATGACGATGAAAAAGTATAAAAAAATGGCAATAGGCATTCGTAGGATTTAAATTATGTATCGTTTTTTAAATTCATTGTTATTATTTGTATTGAAACACTCAATAATGTTTCGAAATGGTTTTCTTAAAATACAGAATGATGCTATTTAATTATGTTTTTACCTTAGACCTTCAACGGACATGATAAGATAGGTATTAAGGAAAGTCAATGTGGTGACAATAAAAAATATCAAGGATAAACTATGCAAAACTATTCCGACTTAATTTTACATCTAGACTGACATTTGACTTTTGTGGTGGCCTCAAACGCGCACCAACTATGCGTTGCATGCACCGACTGTTCGGGCACTGGGCCTTATTGAGGATATGATCGCTGATGATATCGACATATTTGCTGACCACTTTAAAATGCTATGTGCTAAAACCGTAGCATTTGTCAATAATTATTTAATGTAATTTTATAATGATGTACTTTTGACCTGTGTGTGTGACTTCTACTATTGACATATTGATTTTTTTTATTTCTAGATTTTACTTTTGATATTTCGGACTAATTAATGATTTTGACATGTATTGTAAATATTTGACATTTATTATTGGATCTTGATGTTGTATTTTGTATTGTTTTTAATTTTTTTCTTGTTTTAATAATTGATGTGCTTTATATTTTAATTAATTGGCCTGCTGGCGTTTTGGTGCTCACTGTGAGCCAGTAAGTGCATGTTTAAATAAATAAATAAATAAGTCTATTCGCGTTGCAAAATGTAATCTAAGAAATTTGCATTCTGGATGTAATATAAAAATAAATAGCTTAATAGTATCATGTTCGTATTTGAATATTTTAATATAGTCTTAATTATTCAAGTAGCTAATCAATGAAATTAGTACTTTACCTAGAAACAGTTATTTGATCTAGATCTATGCTGGTAGAAACTTAATTATTGGTCATTCATACATTTTGTCATTACTCCAACTATTATGACAAAAATTTGACAAAAACTAGTTGAATATATAGTCTGTAGATATTTATCCTAGGTTTAGTTATAGCTTTGGAGTAATGCTGCACAATAAGTACAATTTCACCAAGGTTGTTCTATATTATAATGTTAAAATAAATAAGTATATCTATTTTTCAAAAATGTAAACGATTTTCAATCATTGAACAGATTGTAGACCTATGTCTTGGTTACTTGTGAGGCTATTGACCTGCTAGCGAGGGTCCAAAATACTCGCGTTTCATGCCTGACCGAGTTATTCGACAAACAAAATGATATAGACCTTTAATGGTTAAGAAAAAGTGCCAACATATATTTTGGTAAAAAAGAGTAAAGTATAAAAAGTATGAATAATAAAATAAAAAGAAAGTAAAAGTTTCCTTTAGTATAGACAGTGGGTAAGTTGACGATTGGCTTGATAGAAGTGCAATTAATTAACGGATGATTGTTGATCATTCTGGTTCTGATAAGAAGCGTGGTTCATGAGAAAAATAATAAGTAGTTGTTTTGCGAGTTCCGTCTTACAAAGTATAAAACAAAGACGCTTTCTTTGCTCTATGTCCATATGTATGCTTGAATGTTCAAAACTACGCAACGAATTTTGATACCGTTTATTTGGTAGATAGAGTGGTTGAAGAGGAAGAGTGTGCAAAGTTTGTTCGTTTGTTTAAATGCGCTAGTCTTATGAGCGACCTGCTTCGAATTAAAATGTTTTGATTTTAGATAGCCTATTAAACGAAACTAATTATTGCTTCACGAACAGAGCTGACCCGCGGGTGAAACTACGTAAAATAAGATAGTACTTATAACAGTTAATTACCATATCCTCTTCTAAATAATTCAACAACCCTTAGTCAAAAACATTAGTTTCCCCCTAGTAATATTTGAAGCCTCATAATTAACTCCTGAATTAAGCAGATAATGAGCGAGAAATAGAATTTAA